CTTTCAACAGCCCAGGAGAACTGGAGTGCTCCCTCCCAGAGCAACTGGAACACGTGGCTTCACGAGTGCTCCCTCTTCAGATCCAGCCACCCACATCCTCTCAGGAACCGGACAGGTAGACAGGCATTTCCAAAAGGAGAAGCTGCAAGTATTAGGGAGCAGGGACAAACAACATCACTGCAAGGCTCTCGCTAGCACACTGGTAATGCATCATCCCTGGAGAAGCATTATACCAAATGTGGCACCAATCATCATATAGGTATTCTTTCATCTCTGTGAACAAATAACCTGTTGCTTCCACCATCCACTTGTACACAACAAAACAGAATGTATTGGTTTTGCTTTCAAAGCAAACATGGGAAATCAAGCAAGGGATGTACAAAACCCTTCCCCGCCCCCGCCCCCCCCCCGCCAAGAAGCCCAACAGCAAGTTGCAGTTGTGCAACTCTCTCAGATGCAAACCTTGTTTTAGGCTTATCCCTTCAGCTGTCTTGCAATGGGAATTTCCACAATTGCTTCCTCACATGTGTTTTTGTGGGGGCACATGGGCAGGTACATGCTGATAGATACATTGCATCACTGTAAAAAGTGATGCAATTTTACTCAGAGGTCTCTTTTCCTCACAAAACAGACTGATGTATGTGTGAAAGGCTGCCCTAACAAATGCAACTGCTAGTGGTAAAACTTAGTAGCACAGAACAGGCTGGGACATTCTCATACTAAAATTATTAATTTATTTAAATTAACAAATAGGTGTTTGTTAGAGGTGTTTTTTCCCAAACATGGCATAAAAACTCTGTGGTAGGCACTCAGGATTTCTTGCCTGCTGAAAGCATACAAGTTTGTACGACAAGTCATTTGTACACTATCTTCATTGCTCAAAAAACCAATATGCTGCTGAACCACAATTCAAATAGTTGAAATGGCAGGTGCTACAGTTGCTCCAAATGAAAAGTTCACCATGACCTAGCAGCAGCAGCAGAACCCAAAGGAGTAGCCTCTGTTTCTGTCAATCTTTGCTCTAACTGCAAGTGTAGAACATCCCAGCTACGTACTTTGTTTTACATAATTAAGAATGTATCACTAGACAAATTTATCTTGTGACTTTTAATAACTTCTTTTTTGAGTGCATCTCCTCAAGTTCACCTATTCATCTAGGTTATTCTAATACAACCTTACTATTACAGTCCTCAAGACCTCATTTAGGATAATGGAGTCACTGGTACAAAAGCCTTGGTCAACCTCCACAAGTTATAGCAAGGGTTACTAACAGAAAAAAAAGTATTCAAGACAGACACTGCAAACCATATTTTATTAGTAGGGGATTTAGGGGAAAGATATAGGCAGTCTGAAGAGAAGTATCTCTGTTAAAAGTTGTTACAGATATTACATCCAATAACAAGCATACATGTTTTCTCCTTCTGGAACAGGCAGAACAGAGTTTACTTTCACACTATGTATCTGCAAGAAAAATTTTTCAGTATCATATTTTCAAACAGAAAAATTCTGTCAAAGCTGCTGAAAGGGGAAGAGAGCACAAGTGAAGTATGACAAATAAATGGGATATTGTTTAAACAAAAGGCAGTTCTAGCATTTGACCAAATTGATCATATGCTTTTCATCAGTGTACCTTGGTCTTGAAATGCAAGAATCATAGAATTGTTTAGGTTGGAAAAGACCCTTAAGATCATCAAGTGCAACCATGAACCTAGCACGGCCAAGTCCACCACTAAACCATGTCCCTAAGCACCACATCTACACATCTTTTAAATCCTCCAGGGATGGTGACTCAACCACTTCCCTAAGCAGTGCCTGTTGCAGTGCTTGACAACCCTTTTGGTGAAGAATTTTTTTCCTAATATCCAATCTAAACCTGCCCTGGAGCAACTTGAGGCTGTTTCCTCTTGTCCTGTCACTTCTTACTTGATAGAAGAGACCAGTACCCACCTTGTTACAACCTCCTTTCAGGTCTCAGCCTCCGTTTCTCCAGGCTGAACAACCCCAGGTCCCTCAGCCGCTCATTGTAAGACTTGCACTCTAATGAACTGCCTCAAATAAATGCTGTACTTTACTTAAGGAAGGTTCCAGCAGTATAATGAGAATACAAAATATAAACACACAAAGAACAAAACCTTCTTCTCTGTTCTTTTTTCTTCTTTCTTTATAATCCAATTAACTACAATTTCTAAACACACTGACATTCACATCCCATAGACCTTAGCTTTTCCTTTTCTGTAACAAGAGAAAGAACATGGATAAGCTGTCAGAGCATCACATTTCAGATCCCCATCCTGCTATAGGTAGACCATAAATGAACATTATGTGAGCAAACCAGCTGAACCTTTAGTCAAGATAAATATTTAGCAGCATAGCACCAGAGCAAAACTGAGGCATCAGTACAAATTTTCTGTAAACTATGATAAATACTACTGACTAGAGAACTACAGCTCTTGAACGTAAGGAGACAAACTGAACACTAAGCAGTTTCTCTCGCTGTTTACTATTAAGAGAATCTTTGCCTTTTCATAAAAGGAAAAAAAAAAAAGGTGGTGATGCATTTGAGACTAAAGTGCCACAGCCAGATCTTTTTTATTGGTTGGTTGTCCCATTAGTCATTTTTTAACAAATATCCCTAAAGATATAAGATATTAATTCATCATAAACGGTGCAAGTATTTAAACACCTCAAGTAGATAGTGCTTTCTGAATCCTGTATTTTTTCCCCTAAAACAGATTTTGATAGCTGGATGATTTAGATACCAAGATTTTAAAAACTGCCACAGGAATTTGATATAGGGTTTAGAAATATCTCGATATATAAGACCAGGTTTCCAAACTTCTCTTCAGAATATGCTTTAAGTGATCCTATTGAACTTTTATTGTCTACTAACTCCACTTTAGCACTGAGGAGTAAATCATCCTCTCCACCATCCTCTCCCCAGGGAACTTCATGACTTATTGTTCATCAAAACAACTAGGATCAAATGTCAAATGATAGTGTGATAACAAAAACAACAGGGGAAGCCTCAAACATCCTGTAAAACACTAAGAAAAGATGTCAAAACTAAAGAAGTGATTAAACAATTTGAGAATCAAGTAATGACACTGGCATCAAAGGAACGGGTATTCCTATGTTCTCCCAAAGCTGGACTTGTGGGATATCAGCTGAAAGCAGGATCGGTCATCCCAGACAAACACTATGAGGAGGAACTGACAGTCCAAGGGCTTAGCCGTAGGTAAGTTATCACTGTAGGACTGCCAGTTCGTCTCCCCTCCTTCCTTTGACTATTTCAGTCAATAATGATAGAAGTGTAACAAAAAATTCTTCACACCACTGAATAAATCCTTACTGATAGCCAAGACTTCAGTGCAGTAAGGACTGTATAAACATGGCAGGAAGGAGAGGAGGAAGAAACAACTGTTAAGCAGAAGCTTGGGTCACAAAGTCCTTTTTCACAGCCCATTTCCTGAATGTACTATCTTTAAAGTAATAACTAAAATTTTAAAGGTAAAGTTCATCAGATACATGACTTTGATTACTACAGCAGTGTAACTCAACAGCAAAGACAGAATTTTGAGCTCTAGACAAAGCTTACTGCAATACCATACTGGAAAACTCAGCATCTGGCAAAATTATATTACCAATTTGTTTTGAAGAACATAACCCAACATATACAGCGTAAACAGATCAGAAGACACTTGGCAAAACTTTGATTTCCATTGATTTCTAAAGTATATTAGCAGCAGAGTTTTGGGGTTTTGTGGAAAGGTTTGGGGATTTTTGTTTATTTGTTTGGGGTTTTGTTTTTTAATTATTATTTGGTTGTTGGTTTGGGGGTTTTTTGTTCATGTTGTGTTTGGGTTTTTTAAGTTTTCTGTAGAATTTCCTAGATTATTTTTTTCAGCTATTCTAAAAAATTCTTTAATACCACAAGCATGCAAAGGACACAGATGTGCCTGAAACTCAAAAGTCAGTACACTTGGGATGCCATCATGTTTCTGAAATCCTCCTGGAGTCCTTTGGGAGAAAAACATGGGTGTATGAGAACTGACATTAATAAAGCAAACAGCACTAAAAGATTCCAGATTTTTGGAATATAAAGTAATCTAGACTGTTCTCAACAGGAAAAGGAAGACACTTGATTTTTTTTTAAACAGCATAGTAAGAGAATTTTGTAAAAATCTTAAGGTTTTTTTATAAAGCTAGAAAACATTACACAATTGTTAACAGTGATAGACTGGCCTAAGTATTGCAAATAAAGAACGCCTTCCACAAACAGGGTTGAGCAGGAAAACATGTATTGAATATTGAGACAGTCATCAAATTTGAGAGGTAGATGACAGTCTTATCTATTATTTGGGAAAGGCAGCACTACAACTGTTAATGTAAATGGCATTAAGTATTACCTACCCACTGTCCATTGCTGTGTAAGAGTGCAAAGAGGAGGAAGAACACTCTCTCTCACCTAACAGCAGCTAGTCTCATCTCATGTCCTTCATCTGCATCATCATCAGTTCTCCAGAAAATGCAGGTGGGGGGAAGAAAGGATTAAGAAGGCAAGGCAAAAAAAGTCAACCCCATTTGTGCATGCAGACAAATAACAGGCAGAACACCCCATCCAGACTGCAGTGAGTGTGACTGGGCTCACGGCACAATCCTCAGCACAGTCTGGCTAGATCAAGTGGGAACAGCAGAAGCCTGCATAGGCAGAAAAGAAAGTACCAGAAGTCCTGTACAATACTTTCCACGATGTGAATTCAAACACAGTGCCTAATGTATTTATGATCGTGCTCCACTGTTGGAAAAAGCATTTCTGTTCCTATTCACCCTGTCCATCAGATTCTGGTTTTTATTAAGAGGAAAAGCAGTAACTAATAGTAGCACTGATGCAAAGGCTTTGTCACAGTGATGATCAGAGTATGCCGTCAACCGGCCAACACCTGTAAAGTGTTAGCTGTTACAAAACACATTCATTTCAAAAACGGTGTTAAAAGTACAGCTCAGTACACAAATGGGATCACAATTTTTCTGTTCTTTGGGTAGTCTTCAAATTTCTCAAGGTACCATCTGAAAAACAAAGAGAGAAATCTGATGAGTACTGAGTCTTCAAAATGCTGTTGAGGAAATTAAGTAATGGTACAATGCATTCAATGTAATCCATATATTTTCTGGCTACAACCCCCCAAAAATGCCTTTAGAACCTACTCTGGACAGAAAACTGCCATTTACCACACTCATCCTAATGACATCTAATCACCAACTACAGTGAAAGAAAGTTACTGCTGCCAGCAATGGGAAATCAAACCAACAGATGTGGTGAGAGCAGCTAGGGAAGGAGTAGTCTGTTGTTGCAAAATGTATGTAGTTATGCATCCTGAGTATTTGCATTTTAGAAGTAGAAGGGAAAAAAGAAAATCAAAAACATTCAAGGGGATAACATGTCAAATTGTATAATGACTTCATGTGGAAGCAAGGGATACTTCAACATATGTTTGACAGTCCTGTTCTGGATAGAAACATCTTCAGTTCCAGTCAGGATTTGGATAATTGAACTGAATGTGACAAATATTACACTAGCCTTACTGCTAATCACCCTCAAAGTCCATCACTATTTTAAAACCCAGACAATTTTAAAAGAATAAATGCATAGTGATACCAAGTGTTATTATTTGTCTGGCCATCTTATATAACAAACACATTTACTCCCATTTTCAAATATTTACTCTTCTGCTTCTCTAAAATAAAAAAAAAGAATTAGCTTCAAAGCTGCAGGTATTCATATCAATAGCTAACTGCAAGATCAAAGCTGGAATAAGCAGGGAACAAAAGATGCAATGCACATTAACCTGCAGCTGTGGAATACCAGCATTACACTATTTATCCTTTTCAGTCATTTATTCTAAGTTTTTGTCCTGGTTTCAGCTGGGATAGAGTTAACTGTCTTCCTAGTAGCTGGTACAGTGCTGTGTTTTGAGTTCAGTATGTGAAGAATATCGATAACGCTGATGTTTTCAGTTGTTGCTCAGTAGTGTTTAGACTAGAGTCAAGGATTTTTCAGCTTCTCATGCCCAGCCAGGGCACCTGACCCAAACTGGCCAACAGTGTATTCCATACCATGTGACGTCCCATCTAGTTTAGGAACTGGGAAGTGGGGGGCAGGGATTCGCCGCTCGGGGACTGGCTGGGTGTCGGTCAGCAGGTGGTGAGCAATTGTCCTGCGCATCATTTGTACATTCCAATCCTTTTATTACTGCTGTTGTCATTTTATTAGTGTTATCATTATCAGTTTCTCCTTTTCTGTTCTATTAAACTGTTCTTATCTCAACCCACGAGTTTTACTTCTTTTCCCGATTTTCTCCCCCATCCCACTGGATGGGGGGGGAGTGAGTGAGCAGCTGCGTGGTGCTTAGTTGCTGGCTGGGGTTAAACCACGACAGTTTTTCAAACTAAACAGACTACACGAAAATATTTCTTCACTTACATGGATTTGCTATTTTTAGTTGGGTTTTTTCTGCACCCCTCTTCCATTTTTATGCATTTTTCCTTTAGTGCAAATTACTTCCTTTAACAACATTTAGCTTTTCATAATGCTCTGTAAGTCAAGAGCTCTGAAACAGCACTGTCAAGGCTTAAGACAGACAGAAACCAATCATGGAATTTGAGCCTGAAGAACATAATATACAAGGAGAGGCTGAGGAACATGGCATTGCTTAGTCTGGTGGGGAAGAGACTAAGAGGCTCTGTTACTGCTGCCTACAGGTACTGGGAGTTAAGACAATGGATCAAAACTATGAAAGAAATGCAAACTCTTGCAGCTGGAATGCAATGGCCCCATGCAAAAGTGCAGGCCAGAGACTGACTGGCTAGATAGCAGCTCTGCACAAAAGGATGTGGACAACCTGCTAGACAAATTGAGCATGAGTCAGTAATGATCCCTGCAATGATGAAGGCTAACTGCATACTGTCCTGCTTTAACAAGCATAGAGCCACCAAGTCAGGGGAAGTGCTTATTCTCCGCTACTCAGTGGCTGAAAGCCTGCACCTGCATTACTGCCTCCAGTTTTCAGGTTCCTGTGCAATAGAGATGTCCACAAACTGGAAAAGTATCCAGCAGATGGTCATTAAGACGACTGCATAGCTGGGACATACAAGAGGAGAGGTTGAGGATACTAGGCTTGTTCAGCCTGGAAGGGAAAGTAAGCAGATCTAACTGCAGTCTTCCACTACCTACAGCGACATTAGAGAGAAGACAGAGCCATACCCTTTCTGGAGGCACACAACAAGTGGACAAGTGGCAGGGGATAAAAGTTGCAACATGGAAAATTCCAACTGGACGTAAGGAAAAAACCCTCTTCCCCACGAGAATGAGAAAAATCCTGTTCCAGGGCTTTGTCAGAGTTGTGCTGAAGCCTCCACCCTTGGAGACACTTGAAACTCAACTGGATGAGGTCCTGGGCAACCAGGTATAGCGTCGTGGTTAGCCCTGGCTGGAGCAGGTCACACCAGATGGCTGGACTGGACAACCTTCAGATGCTCCTCCCAACCGAAGATATTCTGTGACTCTGCTCAGTAGTAGCAGGTGGTAAAACAAGGAGAAATGGTGACAGGCTTGGAAGGTTCAGCTTAGTATGAAAAACTTGTTCACTGGGAGGGTAATACAGACCTGGAACACCCTACAAACAAGGTGCAGAAAAACCTCAATTTCTGGAGGTTTTCAAGACCCCACTAGACATAGCCATGGCTGCCCTAACAGACAGTTAGCAATGATTTTTTTTTCAACCTACTTCCTTGATAAATTCATGTTTATTTCCTCTTATGCCTCTAAGTTTCAGCATGAGAACCAAAGCAGGAAGCTAAGAATAACCAAAATAAGATTAAGGTGTTCAAATTCTTTTAAACATGCTACTCCTTAAAGAGAATCCTTTCAAGTCTTCTCAAACTATGATCCTTTTGTTAGCAGGAAAGCCACATTATGAATACAGTACATTAACAGTTGGACTGTTTAATTATAGAGCAGAGACTTTATTAAATATCATCTACCAGAACTGTTTTCATATTGTCTATACACTTGATTATAAACAATAGGATATAGACTTGACTATAAAGTGTGCCTGTCACAGAAGACTTTAGAGTGATTTTCAAAATTTTAATATTATAGAAACAAGTTTGAGCCACAAGGGAAAGTATAGTATGTGATCAATTAAGACAATTTTCCAAAACTTGTCTATAATCTTTACAGATCCACGATGTTGACCACCTCATCGTACACTGTGTGTGTTTATGCCCAGTACTATCCTGTTGAAATTCTGTAGTGCTTAATATTACTCAGAGTATTCTCTATCATATCCTCCATTGAAGTAGCAGTCTTTCACAAAACTTGCTCTGCAACATCCCGGTGGGATGATGTGAAATGGAAATGAAGTGTGGCATAGAGACAACAGAAACTATAAGACACAAACACTTACTGGTGGTGTTGCTTTGCCCTTGAACCCAAGATGAAAAGCGTACACAACGCAAATGCAAGGCTTTCAATGGTGCAGCAGGCAAGGGCAAACCCAAACCATTCCAGGATCTCTCCAAAAAAGTTGGCTCCACTGACATACTCAAACATTCCCCCTGAAAGCCAAACAGAGTTGTTTTAAAAGCACCTTAATCAAGGAGATCCCCAATGCTATCTTTTACTGTTAGTCAAATAAGAGCTACATCACCAATGTCTCCCTATTTTTTGAAGGCAGTGTTTTTCAGTTCAAGCTGTACTATGGAGGATCACTTCAGACCTCATTCTAAGACAGACCTTCTCCAGCTGCATTTTTCCTCTTTGAATCATGAAAGAAAAGCAGATTTACCAGTATCAGAAGTGAGTTCATGCCTCTAAATAATTATTCAATGATGATATCAAACTGGCTCTTTGATCATAAACTAAACCTTTTTTAAAATATGTAAAAATAGAAAATATGCTCCCCTTTAAGAGTCCCAGAAAATACTCATAGGGTTAGTTAGCATACACTTTAAGTACTTCAGAAATTAAATCAATTATGAACAAAATTATTATTATGAATTAAACTTCCAAACTTATCCTCTTGCTTAAAATGCATTGCCCTTTTGTTCCTCTACCACTTGAGCCCTGACACTCAGTGAAAGAATAATTGGCGGTCAGTGTTAAATGTGTTTTACAGCCAATTATGCATAAACAACCAGTACCCACCTGCTGGGAATTTTATAAAATAAGAACTTGCACCCTAATTCCAAAGTTAGTATACAAATTGATAACATCTCATTATGTGCTTTACTAGCAGGACTAAACAAACAAGTATTTGCCAAATGTAATAAAGGACATGTTTTGACCTTGCTTTAATTCCTTTGCTTTTGTAACAAAAGAGAAGCAGAATTCTAGCACTTAAACTGGATAAGCAATATCCAAAAGACCAACTCCTTCTGATCATGCAGCAAATAACATCTTATTTCCTTCAGAACTTTTTTGTACACTGAACATAGTACAGTATGTTCATATTCATTTTTCACATGGGCATTTGGATTTACATCTATTAAAATTATGAAGTTACCTTCTTGGTGAAAAGTAACAGTCTACTGCCTTATATACCTATTTCTTCCAGTCTTATTAAAAAAAAAAATCTCACTAAAGCCCGAGAGAGCAACAACTACAGGAAAAACTTAGACAAACAGCAGAATTCAGAGGTAACTTATTTTTCTACTCTCACTGAGTGTAATACACCTGGAAGAGTCTAATGTTTCCAAAAGTGTCAATAAACCTTAACACTTCAATAGGGTCCATAAGAAATCCTTTCATATTCTCCATTTTCCCATGAAGGCCAGAATTTATAATGCCTAACTTTCTTTGGATTTCTGTCCTCTTTTCCCCGTGCCTCCCTTACCACAGCAGTCATCACCCTCCGGTTACCTATGATCCCTCCCTCTTCCTACATGGGACAACCTAAGAGGGGCCAGCCACACACAGCTGCCCAGTACTTTCTGCCTCCCCTTTCCTGCCCCCACACTGGGATGATAATTTAGGCTGTCTTCTTCCACCCACCTGCTGATTCTCACAAAAGTTGTGGAATGCTATGTTACATTTTTACCACTTTCTAAAAATACAGCCAGAGTTGGTCAAGAAATTCAGACTCACAAGCCACACGATATCATGAAACAGATCCCTTCAAATACTTGGCTTAAGAGGAAAAAAACCCCCCAAACATTTCCCACACTATGAAATCACTTCTTCAGGTAGACAACGAACTGCTATTTCCAGTTTCCTCTTACATCATAAACGACTACCTCCCCTAAAAGACACCAAGCATTAGAAGGTCACCTCTAGGCAGAATCATGTTAGGTTGGAAGGGACCTCCTGAGATCATCAAAAGCAGGGGCAGCTAGAGCCAGTTGCCCAGGACCACGTCCAGTCCGGTTTTGAGTATCTCCACAGATGGAGACCACACAACCTCTCTGGGCAACCTGTGCCAGTGTTTGACCACCCCCACAGCAAAAACTGTGTTCAGATGTAATATCATGTGTTTGTGCCCAGTGCCTCCGGTCCTGTCACTGGGCACCACTGAGAAAAGCCCGGCTCCCTGTTCTTCATTCTCACCCATCAGGTATTTATACACATTGATAAGATTCCCCCGAGCCTCCTCTTCTCAAGGCTGAACAATCCCAGCTCTCTCTGCGTCTCCTCATCAGAGGTGCTTCTTCTGCTACAAAAATTTCTGTACCATTTTTACTTACCTCTTGGTATCTTGTAACCACTTTCCCCTGGTTTTCTCAGATTCCTGAGAATATGATCAGAATGAATATTGATTGCCATGCCAGTCAACCACCCTATAAAACCTGAGGAGAAATATTTAAAATACTATCTTTAATAATACACTGACCCAAAGTGCTTGTTCAGAAAAACTACAGTTATATATTGCATATTAGGCATATTATCTCAAAGCAGTAGAAATGTAAGCATTACAAGCAATTCTGGTGACATCCTGCACAGTCCCAGTCCCACACTGAGCTCTTCAGTCAGCACAGTTCACAGTAATCAACACGTCTCTAGATAGGAATAGTACTGTAAGTATAAAGTTTATTCTTATGTTGCTAGAATTATGTAAACAAATGTATGCATGTGCATATATACATATGTACTGTGTATATTTCCCTAACTTCCACATAGAAAAACAAATACACTAAAGCTTTAAACACTGAAAGAAACAGCCATTCTCATTCCTACCAGAGGGAGACACCTCAGTCTCCCCCCCCACCTTTTTTTTTACTGACAATATACAGCAGACTTCCATGCAATCAAAGGAATAATAAAATTGTGAAGGAATTCACACACCATTTACTTGTGTCATTCAGCAAAATGGTTTTACCATTTATACTAGGCTTTCATGAAAACTGAGATTGTCACTTTCTGCATGCTTATATCTTGCTGTAATTGCATGGGATAAATCAAAAAGAATTTAGGATTCAAATTCAATATTTTCACCCTTCTATTTTGAGTCCTTGGCTACACGTTACCCATGTTATTTTCCTTCAAAGGCAGCGTTCTTTGTTACTAGCAGCAGACAGGATTAGTGTTTTGAGGGTAGATGCATTGTATTTTTTTTGAATCCACCTCCAAAGTCACTGATTTTTATTTCGATTCCAAAGAAAATGTCAGTGATGTGCTTCTAGAGCAAAGTCGCTTCACACACCAGGTAAAGAAAGCTTTGTCTTTTTGCACCCATAACGAGTCTTTCAGATGGTTCTCCTTCAATACAGAGAAATCCGGTAGTACAAGAGCAAAGACACTAAGTGGATATCCAGATGTATGAGGCCATGTTGCCAGACGAGTAGGTTGTCAGAGTATACTTTACCAAGACTTAAGCTACATTTCAAAGCGAAGCTACAGATGTAAGCAGACCTTGCCTCTCAAACAAGTTGCTAGATAGGCAGCTTTCCTCTCTCAATCCCTTGGGGGCTGCGTTTACATAAAGGACCTAGCTGTCTGCGTCCACATGGATTAGGAGAAAATGACTGCTCTGCAGAGAAACTGACATTTCTGTGTGAAAGCTCTCTCCATATTTACCTATATAAATAAAAAAATGTTGTTTGATTAGCTTGTTACAATCTGCTTACATTACAAAACCAGTAGCAGAATTTAGTCCTGTGAAAAGCATATTTCTGAACCTTTTGTTCATACAGCACCGTGCCATAAGTTTCCATTAGAAATCAAGGTGTGGAGATGCCACTTGCAAAGTGTCTGCTGTAGTAAAATTTTACCATAATCCTTTCAACTATATATTCAATGTAATTACATCATCATGAGATAGATTAGATAAATGTAATGAGGAATTTACAGACCAATTCATGTAATGACAATGTTCAAAACCACAGGGTGAGTAATTCAAATGCTGTTGAATTCTACTTTTAGGAAAACTGATCATTTTAACTTTTTCCTTCAAAACAGATCTCTATCCAAACAGAGAATCTTGAATCCCCACGGCATCCAGCCACAAAAAGAGTTTGCTTCTCTTAGTATTTGTGATCATGTATCAATTTGCAAATTGCCAGAGAAGATTGAGACTACCTTGAAAAACAAGGGATATTATTCATACAACTAAATAAGCAAGTCATTGTCTCTATCCATACAATAATTTGAAAGGAGATTTCTTAACAAGCACACAGATTACTTCTACTTAATGCAAACAATATTTCTACTAATTTATTTCACTATTAGCATGAGGAAAAATCTGTACTGAAAGTTAGTACCAGTTCTAGAAAGAATACTAAATTTATTTCTCGGGAGAGGAAATCAGAGACCCTTTGATTTCTCTGAAATGCCACTGTAATTTTGGAGAATGTTACCAGTGTATTCTGTATCAGTACCTGTTTGCAAATTAGTATCTGAACTACTGAGAACTTTTCAGGTAATGCAAAAAGACTGGAGCTTGCTTTAAGAATGCCCAATTGCTGTAGAAAATTAGCTTGATTTTGTGCTTTTTTACCCCTCCTACTTGAAAACCACCACATGTCAGAAGGAGACAATCAAATCCTGCTTCATGGACAACAACCCGGTGAACATAGGCTGTTTTCACAGCACCCCTCTTCAATTTGAAGACCACTTTCCCCTGAAGTACTGCATAACCACGTTCCCTGTGCCCTTACTCTGTACTTCACTGTCCTCACCCTCGGATCCTCACGTGGCCGAGGGCTAGGACCATGCTCTGCAAAGCCAAGAGCTGGTGATCCACCACGACCTGCAGGACTTGGCTTCCCCCAGAGGGAAACATGGATACGGGAACAGGAAGGGAGCCACAGCATACTCCGGTAGGTTCTCTGAACCACAGGATGCACCACACAACATAGATGACCTCACGAGACTGTTAAACTCAAGAGGCTTTTTTGCTTCATCAGGATAAACCTGGAGATTAAGGCCTGGGTTCCTAGGAGGAGAACACTTGCATAAGGAGGACAGTAACTAGGTCTGTATTACCAAACGACCTAGTGCAAGAGAAGAGCACGTCCGCCCTATTGCGCCAGTGCCCTCTTCACCCTCGCCCATGTAGAATCTCACGCAAAAAGACCTACTCTTGTTCTGCAGGCTATTTCAGAGTGACAGGATAGTAACTGCTGTCTGGCTCACCTCCCCAGCCCGGCCTTCAAGAACACGCAGTGCAAGATGCTGCCCAGGCACAGGCGGCGGCCAGTTTCTACAGCTGTGCTGGAAGTGCCTGGCAGACACTTCAGGTGAGCAGTGCCTCAGCTCAGGCTGCGTGGTTAGTCTTTCCAAGAAGGCACGAGATCATTTGGAGCATCCAGATGCCTGCAGATATGAGGAGAGATACCGACTAGCTCCCATCCCTCCGTCACGAGACCACGTCCAGGTACGGGCAATGCCCATGCTCTCCTTGTGTCTCTTCTCTGTAGAGAGCAGAGGTGGCAGGCAGGCTTGGTTGCCTGACTGCCAGATAAAAAGCCTCACGCAACAGACTACGTGCTGATGTTCTGTCACCTGCACCTTCCCACTTACAGGTACTGCTCCGCTTCACAGAGCTGCTGCAAAGAAAAGTGTTTTGATGCAGGGCATGGTTAGCCATCAACATTAGAAGGAAGTAGTTGAATGGGGATTTAAAGGAGTAAGAAAAGACACACAGCATACTGGAAAGGGTTTGATGAAGCTAAAGCAAGCAAAGGAAGGAGTTTCCAACTAGAAGTGCAGACAGATTAGGAAAGAACATAAGGGTAAAACACGCAGGTGCATAGGCCCCCGTTTGTAGCATTCACCGCTTCAGGGTATCACAGGTACTTTTAGTAAGTTCACAAGCTTTTTATTAGCATGCGTGTGGAAGGTACATGCTGACAGATTATGAAGTTGCTCCCACAGTGGTTTGCAAGCTCATGGTTTTATCAAGCGTTGCACTGCATTTGAAGCAGAACATTTCCATTTCCTCTGAAAACAGAGAAGTTCACTGCTCTGAACTAAACCAACACACACTCCAGAGAAATCATAAGGGAACCACATCTAAACTGTATTGCTGCTCCAAATCAATTGCTGGTGTAGATATAAGCTATTGCTTTCCCAGAGTTAACTCTTAAGACATCTGAAAAGTCAGTCTGTATACTAAGGCTCCACAGACAGAGAACACATCAGTTGTTTGAAACCTCCCACCATGACCGTTAATCAGCCTCACTTCTCCAGATTTCTGCCTTCAGTGCAAGTTTATCTCGTTTCAGCTTCCAACTGCTGAACCTTGTTTGGCTGCTACTTGTACACTCTCTCCCATTTCTCTTCCACATGTAACTCAATATAGACTGAAGAAATACCTTGTCAGCCCTCAGCAAATACGCTTTCTTGCTATTATAATTTTCTGACCTTCTACTCAATTTTTTTTTTTTAGTCATTTTAGACAGAGACTTAAAGACACTGCCAGATGTTTTTGAAGAACTAGAACATAATAGTCCAGTTGTTCAGGGAATATCCAGTGTACAACCCAGCACTACTGCATTTGAGTTGACCAAAGCTACAAGTATAAACTGCAGATATTTGAAGGTACCTAGTTGGGATGAATACCAAATCACAATGATAAATATCCGCTATGTTCTGATTATGTTGATGTGTACTATAAAAAAAGAGATATTCTAGTTACAGGAATAAAAGAAACAAGAAGTCTTAGGTTCGGCCGTTTCATAGCCATGCCAAACTATACCTAAAGATTTATTGTAATAACAGTCTCAAAAAAGCCAGCGAGTAACACTATTAAAATGGTTACTATGTTTACCAGGAGCCTTCACTTTCTTAGTTTTCAGGATAACTTTTTAAAGCAATATTTTGCCTTACAATAGTCATGAAAGCAACACTTTGCTTATAATTAGCATAAATAAATATGTATAAGCATATATTCCAAAATGGTATTATTTGAAAACAAAAACCAAACACAAACAAAAAGAACCACCAAACAAACCCAAACCAAACTAATTCATACACAGAAGTATTTATAACTGAAGGCAGATGAACCTATTATCATTTATACATTTACATCTTTCAGAAATCCTTGAAACTCAAAGAAAAAAAACAAACAAGGAAACCTGAGCAACAGCCTTATTACCTTAAGCTCTTTCAGTAAGGAGGAATTGATTTATGGCTCCTGACTCATGATTTGTTTACAGCATTGTATTGAGATATCTTTTGATTAAGGTACTAAACTAGGACACCGGAAACAAAGCCTGTGTTGCATCAGAGTCTTCAACAGTTTTGATCAACAGATCTTTTAATCAGTTTTTTGTTGGTTCCAATTTAAGGAGACTGGAATTTCAAAAGTACCAAGAGAATTTCAAGTATATCCAAGTGCCTAGCGCCCACTGAAGTCATTCCCTTGTACCTCAATTTCTCCATTTTTAGAGCACAAGCAGTACTGCCTCCTAATCTTGGCAAGAGAATCTATTTCAACTTAAATTTCTTCAGTCTTATAGTCATGACAGCGTTTAGCACTGTGGCCCTCTATTGTCATCCACAGTAACACTGCAATAAAGATAAAAGCTTCTTATTCTTGCTGTAAAAGGCTTGAGAAATCTGGGAGAAACACTAACTTGCTCCGGCTCCAGAATAACAACAAGAACTGGACTGGGTCAGATCAAGGATCCACACAGACCAGCATTCTGCCTCTGACTGACAAGGCAAAAATATTCTTTTTGATCTGAAGATCAAAAAGATCCTTCTGTAAAGATTTCCTTGGAAAATGATACCATGTTTTTGACAGTAGGCAAAAGTAGATGCCTAGGAAACAAAAAATAGGGCAAAGACAATACTTTGCCACTAAACATCTTAGCCCATTAACCATACACATGTCTTCAAGTATAAATGTAACCTCACTTCCTGATAGGTGTCAGTTCACAGTTCTAAAATAAAAAAGGTTAAAAGGCTTCCAGCTACAGCAAACAAGAGAATTAACTGTGAGAAAAGTTATAAAATGGGATTAAAGATACTATAAAATTATAATAACAATAATTTCTTTCCGTGAAGACAAAGGAAAACTACACCTAAAGTTCTCATAACATGTTTTAACTCACCTGTAATGAAACATGGATCTTTTAACCAGCCTGAAGGGTATTCTGCATAGTTGCTTAAGCTTCGGCCTTGCAAGTACCCGTTGTAAACACAGAACAGAAGCGCTAGCACAAAAGTGAAAAACGGTGTTGGTTTTCCTTCCCGGATCAGAAGAGGAAATATGAGCGCCCTATAGCAAACAAGGAAAGTAAAATTGTTGCATTAACAAACAGAAAAGATACTTCTGATGTCCAAAACTGTAATCCATGGTCCAGAGCCCTTGATCCCAGTTCAGAAGGATAGTTACACTCGCTTTAACACCTCAATGTTAATTTTGTTGCCTAATTGGAATTACTAGATCACTCCTCTCTCCCCTTACTACGGAAATCTTGAACTTTGTACCCAAGACAATTACTTGGTCCAGCGCAGTAAAGGCAAGGGGTATTTTTGCCCTCCTTTGTTCCTAAATCTTCAGTGGTATCACCAGGCTTTCTGGAACGAGCCAGGTCTCCCAATCCCTACACCAAACCCACCAGCGCTTCTGGGGGGGAAAGTCAATCCCCTTGAAATTACCCTAACTGAGCTCAGTTTCCTCCTTGCCCTAAAAGTCACTTAAAAGCATTAACTGCTTTGCCTTGACAATCTCGGTCTACCCCACGACACCTGTTAAAGACATGACAAATCCACAGGTGCAATCCCATTTGGGAAAGGAACCTTGATTGCTTTTCCCAGGGGATTATGAGAGTAAACAAACAAGCTCCAAACAAGAAAAGCAGGTGAATGTTTTTGTGCTCTGCCCCACATCACTAGCCAACTCCCAATCACCTATCAATTTAATTACAATCTATAATGATATAGGAGCAGAATTACAGAAGCCTGAGCACTCTTCACATGTCTTCCAGCTATCCAAGGACCACAGCTTCAAAGGAGCGTTTCCAGAGGATGCAAAACCGTAATGTCTTTTAAGAAAGCGTAACAAATTCATTGATGCGATTATTTAAAGCCTACTACGTTACAACGAATGGAATTGGATAACAGAGGTCTTTTCCAGTCTGCGTTCACCTACAGAACAGTCCCTTAGGCCAGCAACAGCAATAAGCAACTGGGGAAAAGAAACTGCAGTACAGCTCAGCTTTCTGTACAAAGCTTTGCCTTGTGCTTCTTGCTTTTCCCAGACACTGAGGATGAGTTAAGATCCCATGCCAAAGCTAATCTCTTTACTCTTAAGAATGGAATAGGAGGGAGTAAAGACACACTCCCAGGTTTGCAAAGCTAGTCAGCCACCAGGCCAACGGTACATTGCATCCCTCTTGACCTGAGGATACAGAATACTTTCAGTCAAAAAGCAACAGCCTCTTGCAATAAGCACCGGAAGACAACTGCATATCAGCCACACACTCAGCTTAAAATTAGCCTGACAAGTCTATCCTGCCGTATTAGCATGGTAGCAGCATTACTTGCTGAGTATCACCAGTAACTATTGTCCATGACTTGAAGGGAACAGCAAAATCTTAACCGAGCTCCAGCTAAGCTGCCTTCCCTTGAGAAGTTTCACAGAACACCCAGATACCATCGACTACGTGACAATGTGGGGCACTCAGCCTCAACTTTGCCAGGATTTTAATGAGTCATTGAATATCGTGAGCTGGAAAGGGCCCACAAAGATCATCGAGTCCTGTGGTGAAAGCCATGATTGGAAAGCAGCTACTATTTCACTGTATCAGAATTATATCAGCATCCAGAAGTGAACTTCCCTTGCTGGAAGATGGCATCCTTAAGTCCACCCGGTCAAGTCCTTGCTTGAGCGGGGGTCGTCACAAGAGCTACGGCCACAGGGTACAGACCACACTGCGTGCCTAGAGGGCCACGCGCTCCCTTTTCGTGCCGTTTCTGAAAGGTGCTGCAGCACTCCACGCAGCACCCGACCAGAGCCGCCAGCGCTGCTCCATTCCCGTGAAAACACGGCGCGCCTGCCCGCAAAGCGGCTGCAGCAAAGACGTTAGCGATTGCTACGTTAAGCGATAGAGGTTAATTCACAGCAGAGCGCCGATCTCCGCCGTCGGAAACGGTAGCCGGCCGCCCCTACCCGGATGGCCCCCGGCCTGCCGCGGACCCGCCCCCCCGACCCCGTCCGATCGTCCGTCCCCGGGGTCGCACCTGTGTGCGTAGTGCACGACGAAGCAGCCCAGGAGGAGGCGGTTAGGCCAGGCGGCGGCGGCCGCCCCACCGCAGGCGGCCAGCCCGAGCGGGACGAGGAGGGAGGGCAGCTCCTGCAGCGCCCAGGCGGGGCGGGCGGGCAGCGGCCAGCCGAAGCGCGGCGAGGAGTACCGGCCGTAGGGCATGGGAACGAAGCGGAGCAGTAGGGCGGAGACGGCGCCCAGCGCCACCAGCCCGTAGGCGAGCAGCTCCAGCAGCCGCCGCTCCTCCGGCCCCGACAGCCGCCGCCAGAACCCGCACACGCCGCCATCGCTGACGACGACACCGCCGGACCCCATCCCGCGCCACCAGCGCGCTCCCCCCCGGCGCCTCCATTCATCGGCCGGCCGGCGGCACGCCCACCAGCGCCACGGCCCAATCGGCGCCGGGGGCGTGACCGGCACCGCCCCCTCCGCCCGCCAGGTTGGTGGAGTCGGCCGCGGTGCGGGGGAGGAGCTCGGGAACGGAAGTTCCGCCGCCGGGGGGGCGGTGGAGCAGAGCGGCCCGGAAGGAGGGGCGGGCCGGGCCGGG